TGGTTTTTCTCCGGTACCGGGAACCGAACTCACGACCTTGCGCTTGCCAGGCAGGCACTTTTGCCGCGGAGCTAAATCCCCAGCCCCAAGCCACTATTTTTCATGTGCATTTAAAAGCATTGAAATTTCTAAGATTATTGTCCTTGGAAAGATTACTGTAGTAATTGAGTAGATAGCTCTGGTTTTGTTAGTTGCTCTATTTGGGAGCTGAATTTAAAACTAAAATTGCTCAGCTCTCCTGACTGAATCAAAAACCTTTAAGCACAATGAAGAAACAATAGTAGTTCGGTGAATGAGTTAGCTGAACTGCGTAGATGCGCAGTGACAAGTGCTTATCATTTCTTGGTTACATAAGAACAGCCCAGTTGGAGAACTATTAATTAACAAAACTAACTGAGTTCCAGACTTCCGAAGAGGTTAGATTTTAGACAAAATTGTAAAGTTCAGTTGGACGATGGCCTTAAGAGAGATGCAGGCTGCAATGTTCCAGCCCTGCTGTTGAAAACTGGTACAGACATATCTTGCTCTATTTGTGTAACAGTCAACAAATCTTAAAAATTTGTTGCCAAAACTGAAACATTAGAAGTAGTCATATAAAATCCAAATATCCAGTTTCTTTTGGAAAGAAAAGACCCCAAACTACCAAGCCTCTACTTCTGAGAGAATACAGGTTGGCTGCACCTCAGGAGCTGAGGGCAACATCCCAGGTCTGCTTTGGCATCCTTCGTCCCAGATAGAAGGGTATCTGTTCAACTATAGGGTGTCTCATTGAACTCCAAGGCAAGGGATGTGAACATTACCTCATGATTGACTTAATTGTGAATAAGTTTAGAAGTTCCATTTTTTTTGTTTTGTTTTTGTTTTTTGTTTTTTGTTTTTTGAGACAGGGTCTTGCTATGCAGTTCAGGCTGGCCTTGAATCACTTTATAGCCCATGCTGGTCTCAAACTCACAGTGATCCTCCTGCCTCAGCCTCCCAAGTGCCGGGATTATAGGCATGTACCACCATGCCCAGCTAGAAATTCTGGTTTTACAAAGAACAGATTTTTTTTTTTTTAAAGAAATGATCCTTATCTTAATATTTCTGTTGCATTTTAATTTCTAAGAGCAAAGGTGATGCCTACTAGTCGATAACATGAGTGCTATTTAAGGGCATCATAATACATTAAAATGAAATAAATATTATCAGATACAACTTCGATATGTGTTATGTGCACAATAGAATATGAATTCACTTTAGTGATTTTAGAAATAGCTTTAACTGTATAAGTAACCTCGTAAATTTTCTTTAGATGCAGTACAGGAGATGCAAAGCATATTCCATCACCACAAGCTAAAATCTTCGCTAAGAAAATGGAAAGATCAAGCAAAATATGTACATCAAAAGAGAGAGGATGACATGGTATGGTACATTTCAAACTTAATTTTTTAAAAGAATGTGATTCACTTCATCATGGTGTTTCAGAATGACACTATATGTGGAAAATATTAAAATCCTGTATATTATATATTTTTTGTGGGATCCTTGTTCTTTTAATAACTTACTAATTTAATTTTTACTTCAGTTAACCCAAATATTTCCTAAGAATTTCTATTGAACTATGAATGTCAAGGGAAAATCTTTTAAGATTTAAAAAATTTATTGATGTAGACACTAAGAATTTTAAGTAAATGTTTAGAAGGGTAGATAGATGTCTCAAGTGGAAGAGAAACTACTTGATATGATTAAAATAGAAAAATAATAAAGACTGAATGAATTTATTCCCTTTCGAGGTAAGTTTAAATTGCTATTTATTCTTTTTTTTTTTTTTTTTTTTTTTTTTTTTTTTT